CTCCTTGCAGAATTCCGGCAGCTGGACGCCGGGAAGCCCACTTTCTTGAGGGTGGACAACAAGTCGGCCATCACGTTCGCCGAGGGCATAGGGTTTACGGGCAACCTCAAACGCATGGAGCGGCGACAGGCCTGGCTGCAGCACATGGTGAGGCGGGGGAAGTTCTCGCTGAGGTACATCCCGACCACCGAGCAGCCAGCTGACTTCTTGACAAAGGCGCTGCACTACCCGGCCTTCAACCGGTGCTCCATCGCAATCACCCAGGTGCGCTTGACCGTTGTGGGCGACGGCGACAACGACGTGCAGCAGTAGGTGCCATGCCCTCTTGCATGGCTGGTGCTGTGACCGGTGTGCTGTGTGTTGGGTGCCCTCCGACGGGCTATTCTCGGAGCTGTACTGCCGTGTGGGCTGGGGTCCCAAGCGTGAACGCGGCAGGGGAGTGTTAACGGGAGTGTTGTTTGGCCCCGTCCTCGCTTGGGCGGAGCCGACCTCGTGGTCGGATGTGCAGGGGTTGCAGCCGACCTGCAGCGGTGGGCACGGGGGCCACTAGGAGGGCGCCGAGCTGAAGGGCGCCTAGCTGGAGGGCGCCGAGCAAGAGGACGCCGTCGTGGACACCTGGTTGGCGCCCTGGACGCTTGGACGGCGTCCTAGAAGGCCAGACGCCAACCTAGGCGTCTGCACGGCGTCCTAGGAGCCTGGGACGCCGCCCTGGGCGTGTGCACGGCGTCCTGGGGGCCCAGACGCCGACTTGGGCGTCCTGGGGGCCCGGACGCCGACCTGGGCACCTGGTCGCCAAAGTGGGGACGCGGAGCATGTGTGGCCGGCTACGGAATGCGCTGGTCGACCAGGCGTGGTTGCTCGGTCGACCGGGATACCCGGGCGACGTGCGCGAGTGTCGCCAGGGTGGAGTCTGCGTGGCCGACCTCGGGGGTGGTATCCCGAGGTTGAAGTGGTTGGTGGGTGTAGTCGCTGGCGTGGAGTCTACCAGGCGTTTGCGCTGTGCTTGTGACAAGGTGTAGAGTGGCAACCAGCTGCACGCACCTGCGAAGCAGATGCACTGTTGTCCTGCGAGTGCAACGCTGTGCAGCCGACTTGCTGCAGCGTTGGCACATTGTGGACTTGCAACGTTGGCGAACCACTACTATGCAACCCCGGAGCGGTGCGAGCGTTGCTGTGCTGGAGCGCGGTCGACTAGCAGCCTAGCTAGCTTTGATGTAGTCTGTGATGCCAATGTTGTTGCAACCATTGTTGTCAATCTTTGCTAGTGAAACTCTTGCAAAATCTCCCCGAGAATGTGCAAGCAGAGAACACACAAGCAAACGACTAAGGAACGCAGAGATCACACGAGCCCCGTGCCTAGCCCGTAGTCTAGCTCCCGTTGCTGAAGTTATCTCCGCACACTTAACAACCATCGTGTTCAAAGCGTGCCGGATGCCTTGCAAGTTTCAGAACATTCAGCAAAGCAAAGAAATCATCGGTGGAGGTGCTGACCCTGCACTTGGCCAGCTTTCTTAGAAATATAAGATTCGCATGAGGTCAGGGACAGGTAGCATATCGTCTGCACCTTTGCATGCTGCACGTTCCGCCCCTGTCACCTTGAAAGCGTGCCCGGATGCCGGCTTCACCTCAACAATCGCTGCAGTCCCCACTTCCAAAACCATTGGGACATTTTATAAGTTGGAGAGCAGGGTTCAAAGATATTGTAACCTGAACCATGTTGTTTGTGAACCACCCACTCCTCCGTCTTAAAGACATTGTTGTTATGGACATTGCTGACTCAAGATAGATGTTGCCAATGAAAACTTGCACGTCTGTAGCATGAGGATGTTCATCCAATAATGTCTTCACTAACTAATGGATCATTGTGACAACATCTCCCAGCGGTATCATGGGTGCTCTCAAGTGGAAAATCATGGATGCAAGCGATGCGCTTAAACAATACACACATCGTCTAATATGATGATTCATTGAGCCTGACAAAAACTGAAGCTATGCTAGTATAATGTAACCTACCGGTTTTTTAACCATCTAGACAGGCAACTTTTGAATGTTGTCTGCTCTTTTTAACACAGCGTTCCGTCCTTTTAACTGCCAACTTAATGAAGAACAAGAATCGCGGAAGAAAGATATATGAGGGATAAGGCAAACGGGCGCGTTGTTTGTCGTCGATTTACTTGGAACTGGTGGAAAGGAAGAGCTGCTTAAGCCTATGCCATGGCGGACGAGGCAAGTTCGGGTTCCAGCATGAGCATAGGAGACCCGCAAGTGAAGCCCTTTCTCGAGGCCCTTGTGAGCAGCCGATTGGTGATGAAGCCAACGATCGGGCTGAGTGAAGCTCAACGCTTTCACGGACAGCACTACAGCACGTGGCATTTGAAGTTCATAAGGAAGGCAAAGGGCGTCGGTTTTTGGGAATACTATCGATTGGACAGGAAAGGAGACACAGACAAGTGCGCAGCGAAATGGGATGTAGAAACAGTGCAATACAAGAAAAGGAGTAAGCAAGCGTTTTTTAAGTTATGTCACTTCATTGCTGACGGGATTGCCATGAGTATGAATGACTTTGCAGAGCTCGAGAACTTTGCACAAATGGCATGAGTGTACATGGAGTCAACCTATCTCGGACACATGGACAAGAAAATAGCCGATGTGAGGAAGAAGCTGCTGTTGATGACCATGGAGCCCAACCAACTGAACATCGACTATGACAACATGACTAGGAGCTACAAAAATGGCCTAGCTACGATGGGCGAGGCGGAAAGTGAACGGGCGATGATAGCGCACATCGTCAAAAGAATACTAGAGGATTTGTTGGGTGAGAGCGTCATTGATCTGCCACCCACATGAAAACATGACGAAACGTATTGCTATGTTTCAGCCGTTGGAGCGAGCACGAGAGTATCAGAAGCGAAAGGAGAAATTTGCCAAGGGCATGGAGCCGGAGAGGCCTGCTATGATGAATGTGGCGGCGACGAGGGTCCTTGGAGCGCGCTACCAGTATGGAAAGCGGGGTCATAAGGCAATTAAATGCTATGAGAATCCGAGGAGAAAAAACTACAAAGAGAAAAATACGGGAGAACAATAACGGCGAGAACTAGGGAGCGGAGTTGCAGCAGAAATGAGGATATGGCAGCAAGTGTGACTATTGCGGACGTTACGGACATCGTGCCACAGAATGCTACTCCAACGCGAATAGCAAAAGCTACAAGGGACTGTCCCAGCAGAGAAGACGCGGTTGCAAAGGCAAGCGTGGCAGAAGCAAAAGAGGATGTGGTCCTTGGAGGAGCGCATCGAACGGACGTGGTATGGGTGCCAAATAAGAATGAGCGGACGGATGGACGTAAGAGTGCGTCATTGTTTTTTTACAGCAGATGCATTTGTCATATGACTTTCATGTCATACTTGACGAAGAATATAAGAGAGTCTAGTGAGAGCTACATTCTGGATGGTAACAACGAGAAACTATATGTTACGGGACAGGGTGAAGTGGTGGTGAAGAGTCCTAATGTAAAAATGGAGTTGAAGAGAGCATGTTGGTTGAGGACTTGAAGGTAAACTTGATTAGGTAGACAGTTGTGTAAGGGTGAAGGATGACACCCATACAACAGATAGCTGTGAATGGAGGTACGAGTATCACCATTTTTGTAGCAAAATATGGATTTGATGATGATGTAATGAGTGCAATGTATGGTGGACGTGAAACTGCAAATGGGAACTTTATGGTGAAAGGATCTAAGACAATTGCAACTGCAAAAGGGCATTTGCTTCAGGAGGAGGCACACGATGATGTCAATTAACTTCATCAGGTGATTGTGGTTCAGCTCACAAAGAAGGAGCGTGAGACTGAAGAAAGTATATGATGGTTTAGTGCCACAAATCTTAAAACTCGTAAGCAGAGGTTCAAGTTGTAAGAGAGTATGAAGCCGAATTAGTCTGCAAGGAGTAGAGGAGAAGATGAGTAGTACGGAGGAGTGTATGGTTCACGAACTACATGGGAGATTGTTGGAGTTGGTCATGGAACCACCCTTATAGATTGACTGACGGCGGATGCTATTAGTCGGTGGCGTATAGAAAATGAGAAACAAAAGAGGGAAAAAACTAATATGTGGCATGCCGTGTGGACTACGGTGATGGAATCAGAAAAGAAGCAGATATTAGGAAATGGAAATGGAGGAATAAATGTATAGAAGGAGATATTAGGTTTGACAGGAGATAAGTTGGGGGTTGAAACATAGCGTGGTCCACAAGGCACCGAATTTCGGACTTAAGGAGAGTTGAAGAAAAGAAGGTTCATTGTGTGTGCGGCTTGATGTAAAACAAGGAATGTGGGACACGTTTGGGTTACTTTCTCAATTGTGCTTGAGATTAGTATAAATTGTGTGTTTATCATTTCGAACATAACCCTTGTGGGACTTTAAAAACCATTGGGAAATTCCGTATGCTGGAGAGCAGGGTTCGAAAAAACAGTAACCTGAATCCTATGGTTCATAAACCACACACTTCGTGGTCATGAACATTGCTAACTTAAGATACACGTTGCTAATAAAAACTGGCACGCCAATAGCATGAGGACGTTCGTGCAAAAATGTCACTGAGGATCCTTGTGATAGCAACCCCCAGTGATATCAGGGGCGCTCTGAAGTGACGAATGATGGACGCAAGCGAAGTTATTAGACAATAAGGTATGCTACTGTAACCTTCTCAGATGCGGTCTTGTGGCTCCTGACACAAGGGAGAAGTGGTCAGAAGGTGGAGGGGTGCGTTTTTGCCCCTAGGAGGGGTTGGGGTGAGTCAGAATCACAGGGTCACCTGCACCACTTTCACGTTTTCCCGAGACTCCCGCCATACCACTCCCCCTTTGGCCTCCACGGTCACATGAAACGCTTCTACCTCCTTGACTCGGAAGAGCGTTTTGTATTTCCGGTCCTGGTCTGCCCATGCCACCTGCTTGGTTGGCAATCCCCGATGAAATCCCCTATCGTGATCGACTCCAGGATGGTTCAACGCCGGTCAAAGTCGACATTCTGCTTCTCCTGTGCCTTATCATGATTCTCAGTTGCCTTTGCCAAAGCCAGCTCCATCTCCGAGGACCGTTCATAGATATACCCGGCTGCTGCATCCGCTTCCTCCACGGTGGATAGCTCGGCCAGCTCTTTCAGCTCCCATTCTGTCAAGGTGCTACCCGAGATGTTGGGATGGCGACCATAGAGTAGGAAAAATGGGGAGAAATTTGTGGATGAATGGTTAGAGGCCCGGTACCCCAACAGGACTACCCAGATATTCTCATCCCATTCAAACGGGTTGGTCTCCTCCAGCCTAACCAATGCCCCTTTCAGTGTCCGCTGGAACCTCTCGATGAGCCCCGAGCTCCGAGGATGATTGGGGCGAGAGAATTCGTGCTAGATCCCGAACTTTTCTAGCAGCACCTTGAACTCCCCATGGAAGTGCTGCAAGGTGCCCCAGCCCGTGAACGAAGCTAATGATTTCCCCCCTCTCTTCCTTCCTAGGCACTGAATTTTTATCCCCCGTTGCCTTTAGGTTCCACAGCACCCCATTCCGCGATTCGCACTTCTTCCCTCAGGCCCGCACTCTCCGCTTCTCCGCCGTAGTCCACGCTAGATCAACTTCCTCGTACTCCATGTAAAAAAGGGTATTGAGGTCGTCCCATATAAATAGCGTGGTCGTCTCGTATGCGAGGCTTTTACCCGGCTGCTCTCCGCCCTTGGCTCCGTGTGAGGGTCCAACTCATTCTGCCCACTTTCCATCCCCTTTTGAGGCCACGACTGCTTCCCTTGCCTGAACCCCATCCTCCTTCGAGGGCCCGGCTTCCTCCTTTTCTTCCCCCCTTTCCCGTATGACCTTTTTTAAGAGGTTGCGTCATTGGCGGTGACGGCGTCCTCTCCTTGGGCCCTTCTGGGTCATTCTCTTGCCGTTCTACCCCCGGGGCCACCATCTCCTCATCTCCCTCTCCCGACTCCTCCTCTTCTCCCTCGTCCTCGCCGTCTTCATCCTCGGATCCCTCCGCTTCATCGCCTTCTTCTCTTGATTCCTCATCACCATCTCCTTCCTTGGACCCTTCGGACCCGGCTTGTACGACGTCTCCTTCCTCTTCCCCTTCCCGCTTCTCCGTATTGCTACTCATCTCCTCCGGCTCGCGGACATCCACGCGTTCTCCTTCTTCCTCCTCACCACTATCCCCTCCTTCCCCTTCCCCATCAACCGAGCTGCTGCTTGCTTTCCTAGCTGGTGGTGGTGGGGGTGATCGTGGGAACAGATTTGTGAACATGGGGATGGCTTTTGAGATGGGGGATAGGGAAGGTGAGTGTGCATATGAACGTGCCTTTCCCACGGACTGTTGATGCAGCCCCTGGTGCATGCGACTAAGTGCATCCACATTCCGTGGTGTCTCCCCAGGCCGGTAGGAGATGGTAAAGTCATACTCCTGAAGTAGTAGACTCCACCTGGCCAACTCAACCGTTAAGTCCTTGGCCGTCATTAGCCATTGGAGGGCTTTGTGGTCGGTCTGCAGCAGGAATCAGCTCCCATAGAGGTAAGGGCGGAAATGTTTGATGGCCCATGCTACTGCCAAGCAACCCCCGTGGGTGGACGACAGGTTCTTCTCCGCCTCCCTCGTTGTACGGCTAGCGTACGCCACCAGTCATTCCGCTCCCTTTCCATCCTTTTGAGCTAGGATGGCCCCTAAGGCCGTAGCAGAAAAGTCCGTCAGGAGGATAAAGGGCTCAGAAAAATCTGGGAATGCAAGGATGGGTGGAGATTAGAGCCAATTCGAGGGCATTGAATGTCTTCTCTTATTCATCTGTCCACTCAAACGGACGGTCCTTGTACAGCAGCTGCGTGAGAGGATGCGCCACCTTCGCATACCCCTTGATGAATCGCCGGTAGTAACTAGTGCACCCCACGAACTCCGGGACCCTTTTCACATCCACCGGCGCCGACATGTTACTGATCCACTCCACCTTTCCAGCATCCGGCTTCACCCCATCCCGTGTCACGATGTGCCCGAAGTAGATCGTGGAGGCGACTGGCACAGGTGGCTACTACTGGGCTATCGGAGCAACTCCCCAGACTACAGGTGCTGCTGGCGACACGACGGCAACCTCCGATCAACCTCCCCAAACAGTCCCACCCCCCTTGACACACACCCACTGCTTCACCCCTAGCTCCACTCCCCCTTCACCCCCCTTAGTACCACTCCGACGGCTCCAACAGGTCCACCCCCCCTCAGCGGCAGCTGCAGCACAGGGAGACGGAGGAGGAGGAGGAGCAGGGAACAGCACACAGTGGCTTCACCCCCATACCCCTCACCCCCAAACCCTAATTCAGGAGAACGGGGTGTAGGAGGGGTGGGGCGCCAGTAGAAGCACAGGGGACAGCGGGGAGGGCAGGGGCAGCAAGGAAAGGGCCGCCCACGGGCCTGGCACAGCCGCCCGAACCGCGTGCAGGCAGCCCGAGCCGCGCGCGGGCCTGACGCAGCCCATACAGGCCGCGCGCGGGCCTGGCGCAGCCCGTACGGGCCGCGCGCGGGCCTGGCGCAGCCCGCACGGGCCGCGGACGGGTCTGGCGCGGCCCGTACGTGCCGCGCGCAGGCTGTACGGGCCACGCTCAGGCCACGACGGGCGACGGGGGGCGACGCGGAGGTCCCCGTCGCCTGTCGCAGCGCCTCCCGGGAGTGGCGCGCGGCGTGACGGGGCAGTAACCCGCCGCGCGCCTTGGGGCGCACGGTGGGAAGAGAACTGCCGCGCACCTCGGGGCGCATGGCGGACAGAAAACCGCCACGCGCCTTGGGGCGCACGGCGGAAAGGGAGAGTAGCAGTTGCAGCGGAAGGAGTGTGGTGGGGCCCACAGGCCAGGAGCTTACTGCTCTGATAACCATGTGAAAAGGAGTGATTAGAAGTAGGAGCCATAGCTAGGCCTTTCCTAGCTAGGCAATAATAGTTTAGGCAAAAGAGGGGGTTGCACTAGCAAGCAACAGGATACATATAGGAAACCCTAAGGGGTTGTACTCGCTATAGAGTACCCCACTGCAGGCTAGAGAACAAAGATAACATTCTGACAAACCCTAGTTCGCATTTGTTAGGCTTGAGGAGCAAGTGGTTGGCCTTTACCCGTTTGAAAAATTTCTCGCAGATGCTCCAGGTGCTCCTCCCAACTTTTGGAAAACACTATGATATCATCGGGATAGGGGATGACGTTAACGTAGGTGTGGAAAGTGGTGGTCATGAGGCATTGGAAAGTGGCAGGGATATTTTTCAGACCAAAAGGCATCCTCACATACTCATACTGGCATAAGGAGGTCTTGAATGCGGTCTTAGGGATGTCCTCCTCGGCCACCCTGATGGTATGGTAGGCCGACCTGGCATCGAGGACGGAGAAGTACAGGGACCCTGTCCTTCGGTCGAGGATGTCATTGATCCTCGGCATAGAAAGCTGGTCCGATGCTTTTGTCACTACGTTGAGGGGTCGGTAATCGATCACTACTCGATCACCGAACTCCTTTTTCGAGATGACAACGCAGTCGGAGGCCCAGGGGCTGTTGGAGGGTTGGATCACTCCTTGCTCTAAGAGGCCCGCTACCTCCTCTTCTATCCGAGCTCGTATAGAGGGGGGGACACGTTATGGTTTGTGGGAGATGGGTTTGTCTAACACCGATGGAAATATGATGGAGGACGGTGGGGTGGGTCCCTAGCGGTTCTGCTTCTGTAGCAATGACCTCTCGATATTCTACCAGCAGTTTCCTCAGGTCCGTCTACAGGTCTGTCCCCAGTTCGTGGTTGAGCGACACCAGCAAGTCCTCGAAGGCAGGGCAGACAACTCGAGGAGCTTCCTTTATTAGGCCATATTAACTGCCGAAAACTATCCGGCCCTCATCCCCCTTTGCAGCAGCTATGTATTGCCATCGTTCAGCTGCCGGCTGCCGGGTAGTTGAATAGCTCGAACAGGTAATCCAATTTTTTCCGGTGCTCCTTTCCCTCGTATGCAAGCTTCCCTTCCTCCTTGACATCCACCACGTATTCTTCCCCGTCCGTCATTGAATACTCTTCCCATTGATCCATGATTTCCCCTTTTGCCTCCGCAGCCTTCCTGGCCTCCTCATACCCCATGTCCCATTGTAGTTCCCCAGCCTCTTCGTCCATACCTGTTGCGCCAAGGTCAGAGTAATGTTTCCCGTCTGACTCAAAAAGGCTAGGCATATCGTTATCTGCCCCGGCTTCCCCTTCTGGCTCACCTCCTTCGGGTATATCATCGAGCCCGTCTGCCCCGAGCTCCTCATAGAACTCACGCTCCTTGAGTTCTAGTGCTTCCAGCTCCGCCCGATCCAACTCCTCTTCCTCTTGTACCCACGCCCAATAGTCCGCCTCCTCCTCCGTCAGTCGGATACGCCCCTGCTCTTTGGCCAGGAGGAGCTGCTTCTTCTCCAACCACCGCTGGAAGTCCTCCTCGTCCATACCGAACCAGTGCTGAGAAGGCTTATGTTCATTCCTGCGGGGTGTTTGGGGCGGGAGGGACACATAGGAGGGGCGACTATCCGTACCCACGGGTCCAGTGGTGATAGGGACCGAATCTGTCTCTTTGGTATTGACTCGGTACACTATCTGGCCCTTGCTGGTCAGGATATCCGCATTAGCCAAGTAGATCCAGTACTGTCCTAGCAGCATGTCATAGGTATTCACCCCGGTCTCTGCTATGTTGATTGGGAGGGTCAGCTTCCCCACCCGCACAAGTATGTCAGGAAGAATACCCCACTGCTTTGACGCCTCACCTTTAGAGGTGATATACTCTATTGCAGTATCTTGGAGGTAAGGTAGCAGCCCTAACTTCCTAGCTATGACGTCCGAAAGAGCCATCTGGGATGCACCGAAATCGACTATGGCGGATAAGCGATGTTTGTGTAGGTGTACGTCGCATTGCGGGACCTGGAAGACTAGGTTGCTTGGGATCAGGTCCTCATGCATAATCTCCCACGGAACAGCTGCCATTACTTTCGAAACCCCTTGCATGGCGGTTGCCCCATCTTCCTTCCCCTTATCCTCAGCGAGCGTCAGGGCATCCAACAACTCCTTTCTCACCTTTTCACTGTCGCTTATGTAGTTTCCCTAGCAGCCTAGCATGCCTAAGCAACCCTTCTTTTTGAATGTTTATCGGATCTGGCCGATAGTGCTCACACTTAAATCCAGGTCATCCTCTCATTAGAAACCCCGAGGTTTGGAGCATGTGAAGCTGCCTTTGGAGCTGAGCAGCGGCAGCACAACCACGAGGCAATCCTCCCTTGTGAATGGGGGAGAGGAGGCCAATGATGCAGAGGAAGAAGAGGAGGAGGTGCAGCAAGTGAGCGAGCGTGCACCGTCACTCCCTTCCCGTACCACGAGTGCTCCACGGATTCGAGCCACACCGCAGCAACGCCAAGGCCTTCAAGTCCCTGCAGCTGAGGAGGAAGGAAGGGGGAAGAGGAGAGTTCAACCCCCTAATAGGCTGACCTATGATGCACTTGGAAAGCAAGGCAAGACAGCCCTGGCCGGAGCGGCAATGATGGTCGGAGACGACGAGGAGAGTGACTACGAGGAGTGTGCCTTCGCGTTCTTCTCTCCGATGGAGATGCCGGGAGAACCAGCAACTCTTAAGGAGGCTTTGGAGAGTAGTGATGCTGAGGAGTGGAAGAAGGCCATGGAGAGTGAGCTGAAGAGCATCGAGGAGAATGACACGTTTGAATTGGTGGAGCTACCGGAGGGGCGTACGGCGATAATGTCCAAGTGGCTCTTCAAAATCAAGTCGGATGCCGACGGCAAGATCGAGCGCTACAAGTCTAGGCTTGTAGCCAAGGGGTACCAGCAGAAGGAGAAGGTGGACTTCAAGGAGCTGTTTGCCCCTGTGGTGAAGCCGACGACGCTGCGAACCCTATTCGCGGGAGCCGCCATCAAAGGATGGGCGGTTAAGCAAATGGACATTGTGACGGCATTCCTTAACGGCATCCTTGAGGAGGAGATTTTTATGGCGCAGCCAGAGGGGTTTGATGATGGTAGTGGCAGAGTGTGGAAGCTGAAGAAGGCCCTCTATGGGCTGAAGCAGGCCCCTAGGCAATGGTACATGAAGCTGCGCGAAGTGTTGGAGGAGATCGGCTTCACTCCCTCAACGGCCGATCACTCCTTGTTCATGCTTGGCGAGGGGGAGCAGAGGAGCTTCATGGTGGTTTATGTGGATGACATTCTCATATTCTCACCCTCCTCTGACCTTGTGAAGGAGGTGATGCTGAAGCTGCATGATAAGTTCAAGTGCAAGTCCCTTGGTGACGTGAACTTCTACCTTGGGCTCCACATCGAATGAGACGTGGAGAAGCGGAGCATGCGAGTGCACCAACGGAAGTACCTGGAGGCGTTGGCTGCCAACTTTGGCCAGAGTGAAGGTCATGTGGCTACTCCCTTTCCCTCTGGGTTCAAGTGTGTGAAGGGACCGGAGGAGGAGAGCGTTTGTGAAGAGGAGAGGCGCCGATTTCACTCGTTGGTGGGCAGCCTCATGTATGCGGCGGTAAACACCCGACCGGACGTCGCGTTTGCTACCGCGCAGCTGGCTAGGGTTGTGCAATGCCCTAATGAGGAGCAGGTAGCAGCTGGAATGAGGGTGGCCAAGTATCTTGGCCAAACACCGACCGTTGGGCTGCAATAGTCGACGGCGGCACAAAGGCGCCAAAAGGGCGCGGATGTTGTTGAACCCGGGCGTTTGTACCTCACCGCCTACTTGGATGCTTCATATGCATCAGAACCAGAGGACATGACAAGTGTGGGAGGCTTCACATGCTGTGTTGGTGGAGGCCCAACTGCTTGGGAGAGCAAGAAGCAGGTTGACCAAGCTTTGAGCTCGGTGGAGTCCGAGTACATGGCACTCTTCCGTGCCGTACGGGAGATTGTGTGGCAGCGGTGTTTGTTGGCTGAATTGAGGGAGGAGCAGCAAGGACCTACCCCACTGTACTGTGTCAGCTAGGGTGCCATTGCTCTTGCTAAGAACCCTGTGTTGCATGGACTCACGAAGCACATGAGGGTGAAGTGGCATTGGACGAGGAGCATGGTAACCGCGGGTGAAGTTGAGTTGCACTACGTGAAGACCACGGGGCAGCCTGCTGACATGATGACCAGAAGGCTGGTGGAGCAGCAGCATTGGAAGTGTTGCAAGCTGGCTGGGATGGCTCTGAACTGAGAGAGCAACATATCCTAAGGCCAACAATCCGAGGGGGAGTTTGTTGGTGCAACCCTATGGTTGGCACTCGGCTTGTTGTCCGTGTGCATGCATGTGTGTGTGTATGGAATGGTATGAGGGCATGTGATAATATATATTTCATGCTTATAATTGTGTGTGAATGTTGAGTCATGATGTCGAGTGTGTGTGTTGAGTCAATAGCGAGTTATCGCTAGACGCGTGTTACGCGGTCGTTTGTGTCTCGCGCGCGGTTTCTATTTTGTCGTGCGCGGTTTCTATTTTGTCCTGTGTCGAACGTTCGGTGTGTCGCAGGTGTGTGCAGCAGACCCATCAAGAACTCAAGGATGAGTTTGTGATGAAGAGCCCGAGCCTTGGTGTCAAGCCTCAAGTGATTTCAAAGCTCGCCAAAAGGGTACACCTCAAGATATTGAAGATAGTTTCATTACTTTGTGTAGTGTAACATTTCACTTGGTGTAGGCCCTAGTGAAGGGTTGTTTCGAGACCCTTCGTGGTTGGGGACAGTGTGGCACTGTTTCACATCACTGTACCTTGGCTCTTGGGGTTTGTAGGAGCTGGGAGTCATTCCCAACTCGTAACTCTCCCTAACTCTTCCTATCTTGTGTTCTAAGACTATAGTGGCTGCCATAGTGCCGTTCGTTCAAACTGACGTTTTGTCGTCAATACTTGATGAAATCGTGCGATCTAAATTGCATATTGTAGGCGACAATACGACGCGCCAGATCCAAGTTGAATCAAGTCATTTAAAGCTGTGACCAGAACGCTATGAACGTTTGAAGCCGCTGTGCAGAAATCCGACTGTGCACTCTATCTTTCGTTTTAGGCACATTGGAGCCTATTGTGACTATAACAAGTGGTATCAGAGCCCCTTGGAGCAGTTTCGACAATGGCTGGACATGAGGAAAGGGGTGGCAGAGGTGCTGGTGGTAAAGGAGAAGCCCAAGCTCAAGGCCAACCCCGTGACTCAGCCATGGCACCCGTGCAACCAAGTGTTGGCCCATCTAGGGATGAGCCTAGAGTGTTTGGCCTTCACAAGTTCAATGGTGACAACTTTGCTGAGTGGTCCTTCAGAATGGAGAACATATTTGACCACTATGACCTGCTGGAGGTGATGGAAGGAACGGAGAAGCGTCCCGAGAACGACCCGGAGAAGAGCCCGTGGGTGCGGAAGAGCGCACAAGGCTACCTCCTACTTGGGCAAGCGTTGGGGAGCAGCCAAATCCGTCACATCAAGCCTTTCCAGCGTGAACCAGAGAAGGGACCAAAAGCATGGGCTGCTCTCAAGGGTGTACACGCTCCTGCAACAGCGGCGGTAGCTGTGGTGTTGGAACGGCAAATGGCGACGTTACGAATTGAAGAGGATGAAGCGGTTGAAGAAGGGGTGCAGAAATTCTTCGACTTGTTGACGCGGCTTGAGGGAGCGGATTTGAACTATAGTGAGCTCCAAAAGAAGACCAAGTTGCTGGCCCTACTCCCCGAATCATGGTCCTCGCTCATCATCAACCTGAATCGCGACTTGCCCCGCCTCTCGCTCGAAGACGTGACGCGGGCTATCCTTCAAGAGGATTTCCGCTGTCGTGAGTTGGCGAGTGCGGATGGCGCTGGGGCAGCGAGAATCGGTCGTGGATATGGTCGAGGAAGAGGCAGAGGACGAGGGGGAGGAAGGTTTGGTGGCAGCAACTTCGGCGGAGGCCGCGGGAGTGGCGGTTACGGCAGCGACGACAAGAGCTACGGGCGCGGTCGCGGCCGATTCGACGGCGAATGCCATTATTGCCACAAGAGCGGGCATATGTGGCGCAATTGCTACAAGCTCCCTGATGGTTGGACCCCTGCTCAAGGCCAAGAGGGTAGAGGAGCAGGAGGAGGGAGAGGACGAGGCCGTGGAGGCCGCGGCGGTCGCGGTGGCGGAGCTGCAAACATGAAGAGCGGAGACAACGACAAGGACCCGAGCGACGATCGATACCCTGGTCTATTCTACTTCGTGTCGACGCAAGCACTGGCTGGTCCAGAGAAGGATGAAGGCTTTGAGGAGCCAGCAGCTGTGGGGAAGGTGACCCTACACCCCCTAGACTATTGGGTGATTGATAGTGGCGCTACCTATAGCATGACACCTCGCCCGGACTTGCTCACCGAACTCGAGCCGTCACCGGTGAAGCATGTCACATCGGCTTTGGGGCAGCGAGCAGAGGTGAAAGGCATGGGGAAGGCCATGTTCAAGGGTGCTGATGGGAAGATGGTGGGCCTCAAGAACGTGCTTTGGGTGCCCAGCCTTGCTGCAAACCTGATTTCCGTGCGGCGGTTGGCAAAGGCCGGCATGGACACTAACTCGAAGGGAGCCAAGACCTACACCGCAAGGCTTGACGATCGGGTTCTTTGGGACCTTCATGAGGACAGGGATGTCTACAACGAGATGTGGCAGATCCCAGTGGTCCCTATGCCTAAGGATAGGCAAGTGGCAGCAAGCGTCAGCACCAAAGGTGAAGCGGTTGGTAGCGGCGATTGCGCGGACGGTCGCGCTAAGGAGAAGGAGTCCAAGAAGTGGAATCTTGGAGGGACCAGCAAGCTCAGTGATCATAACAAGTGTGGTGCTGCAGCCAAGGAGCAGCACAAGGGTGAGGAGAACCCTGAGGCAGCAGCGGAG